ACCTATGGCCTGGAAGCCCCCTTCCCCCTTCTAGTTATCCTGCCTTTCCGGACCAAACCAACATACATCTTACACATACTGACTGATATCTCATGCTTCCTTAAAGTGTATAAAGCCAAGCTGTGCCCCGACTACCTTGGGCACATGATGTCATAACCTCCCGAGGCTGTGTCATGGGTACATCTTTCACTTTGGTAAAATAAATTGAGACCTTGTCTCGGCTACTTTTTGGTTTACATGCTGATAGGGCACACTTGCTTAGAGACTCCTGGTTAGCCCCAGGAGGAGCAGGCCCCACAGCCCACTGGTCCCAGGAGTCCACACCATTCAGAGCAATCCTGTGGGCAGTTGGTTTGCCCCCGAGGCCTTGGAAGGGAAGGGGTTACTTCTGGTATTTCTGCTGAGTCCTGGGAGTGCTTCAGCCTTGCCTATGAGGATGATCCCACACACTCCACAGGAGGTGTTTCTGAGAAGTTTGGGTCTTTTTACCTCAAACATCTGTGATTCAGTGAACATCTATGAAACACAATCAAAATCTAATTTAGGCCTAGAGGAGAGGCATTAGTCATGCTGGTGTGGCGGCTCACAGTCGCAGCAGTGAGCAGCAAACAGTGCTCCTGCAGAGCCAATTCCCCAGCTATTTCTTGAGGCTTTTGCTCTCCCTGTGGGTCCACTCTATATTTTATCATCAAATCAGCAAGAGACAGGAGATTCTGTCAGGCCAGATGCCACGCCAAGCAGCGCCTAGGAGAAAAGTTCTTTTCTTCCAACCTTCAATCAGTCCTTCTCTCAAGATGATTTCTAGCTTTCTTCTCTTCTCCAAATCTGTATCTTTGATTTCTGCCTTTTCTTCCATGAACTCTCCGCCTGGTCTTCTCTGAGAAACCACCACATTGTCTGACCCAAAAGAGGCAGGGTGTCCACCACACCCCGGGGTCACAGAGCATCAGAGAAGCATATGTGTACTGGTCACAGAGAGTGTCCCGAAGGTCACTGCGGCAGCTGAGAGCAGGCATGGTCTGCCCCAACTTTTCATTCTGATGAATGTCCCTAGAATGTCTGCTCGTGGTTTCTCAAAAATTACAGAAATGTCATTCTGCTGATGCTGATATTGCAACAAGGCTGGCCCTCTGTTCCTGCTCATCTCCACCCTCATCAAGTGCTCTGGGGGGCCCAATTCCCACACTGCTACTGGGGAGACGTTTGTGATTGTTCCTATTTGATGAAGATGGAGAGGAAGATGGCGCCATCCTCAGAAGGATGGCACCTTCTGAGGCCATGGTGGAGAGGTCCAAGGGTTCTAGACCAACCAGATTTCAGATCCATGCCAGATCAATTGTGATGGTCTCAGAACCAAGTGGGGAAAATGCCTTGGAGCTTGAGAGTTGGTTTGAGAGGGAAATGTCTGTCTCCTTTTAAGCAAGTTGTTAGGAAATACTGACCCCACAAAACAGACATCTGCCCACTGGAGATACTGCACCTTGCACAGCAAGCTGAGCACTTCCCTGCAATGAACGCAGCCTGTGTTTGCCTCCAGAGATGAGTCAGCCTAGTAAATTAGTAACACACCAGCAAATGATAGTGGAGGAGGCCTGGGAGACAACTCTGACCATCACTGCACAAAGAGGGCTAAACTCTTTCCACTGCCTACACTTGGCACTCATGTCACCATCAGCTTTGCCTCTTAGTGTTCGCGTGGGTCCCCTCTGAAAGGCAGGCGGGGCTTCTGACTTCTGTAGTCTCAGAATGAAGTCGCAGGCTCTTGGTCTTGTTCATGCTCCTGTGGAAGATAGCTCATTTCCATCTGTCAGCGACACGTGGCAGATATTCATGTTCTGGGTGGGAAAATGGACTGAGATGAAGGTGTGAGATTCAGTGATTCTGTAACATGTAGTCTTTATCTGCCGGAACAGTGGAACTTAATGAGTGTGAATTCCTTTATCATTAACCTAAAAACAAGTTCCTGAAAGTGAGATATACTTAAAGCTCCAGTATCTTCAAATGAAAGTAAAAAGACGTTCATTTGAGCAAGTGAGGTTTTTCACATGATTATGAGAAGCCTAAAGGTTTTGGGAGACAATGCGTTAGAAGTCCTGCCCTTTCATTTTTAATTAGTTCCTGGTATTAGGAAATTGCTCAAATAAGACACAGAGACCAGACTGTTGGATTAAGTTTTTCCATCTAATGGCTTCCCCTGGTTCCGCTTGCATTTTCCTTGACATCTTGCTTTGGTTTGAGAATGCTTTGGTTTGAGAATGCTTTGTTGAGTTTCTTTTATAATTATGTACAATCAGAATTGGTGACAGAACTGTCACCTTTCCTCTCTTGTCTGCAGCCTTACTGTTTGTGGTACTGATGCTGGATGCCAGGAGGGCCCAGGGGCACTGAGACACACTTTCCAAGTTCTGTGTTGCCCATCGTGACACATCAGGGCCATTTTGGGGACACAGATGCTCATCCCGTGGGACCTGAGGACACACGTGTGAATGGGGAAAGAACCCCCATTTGTTTTGTAGATTCATTTCTCCTGCTTCTCGTATTAACATTCTTACCATCTCAGACAGCAGGAGAGTTGCTGTCGTGTATGAGAAGACTCTACCAGGATGAGGCTGAAAATTAAACTGTAATATCAGAAGGCTTAGGTGAGAAGCATATCTGGCCAACCTCAATGATACTGGCTGGCACTGAAGAGCACATGGTGACAGAAAATCTGAAAGCCCAACTATCTTTGCCTTCAACATATTATCCCTGCAACTGTGGGGAGGTCAGTGCAGGTGCTGAAGAAATGCTTGCTTGCTGAATGAATGAATATCCAAAGAATGAGCTGGAGTAATTGTAACATTTCTAGTTATTTACTCAGTTTAGTTACCATTAAGGGAGAGCTTAATAGGTGTGAGGCATGTGCCAAGCGTTATCTTTGTCTCTTCTTTTGCAGAGACAGGATCTTGCTATGTTTCCCAGGCTGATCTTGAACTCCTGGTCTCAAAGCAATCCCCCGGCTTCAGCCTCCCAGAGCATGGGATTATAGACATGAGCCATCCCGCCTGGCCTTACAGTCTCTGTCCTCCTCTTTTTTTTTTTTTTTTTTAGATGGACTTTTGCTCTTGTTGCCTAGGCTGGGGTGCAATGGCGCGATCTTGGCTCACCACAACCTCAGCCTCCTGGGATCAAGTGATTCTCCTGCCTCAGCCTCCTGAGTAGCTGGGATTATAGGCATGAGCCACCTCACCCAGCTAATTTTGTATTTTTAGTAGAGATGGGGTTTCTCCATGTTGGTCAGGCTGGTCTTGTACTCCTGACCTCAGGTGATCTGCCTCCTTGGCCTCCCAAAGTGCTGGGATTACAGGTGTGAGCCACTGCACCTGGCCATCTTTGTCCCATTTAAGTCTTACCACAATCACGTTCAGTAGCATATTATTCTCATTTTATAGATGAGGCAATGGAGGCTCAGAGAGGTGAAAGGACTTTCCAGATATCAGAGACAGAAAGTTACAGAACTGTGACATGAACCAGTATCTGTACTCAAAATCCCCTGCTTTGGCCCAACCCATGTGTCTACCCAGCTTGTCTCTAAGATGACTGCCATCAACTCTCCCCTTCTGTGCATGCCATAGTGTTCCCCTGTTGAGAAGTCAAATCTCCTTGAAACTGGACTGGTTTTACTGACTTGCTTGACCCATAGGATGTGGCAGAAGCAACATACTGGGACTTGTGAGGTTGAATCATGAGGAGTCTTGCAGCTTCCTCCTGGGCCTCTAGGAACATTACTCTGGGGAATTAGTCATGAAAAAAGTCTCACCATCCTGGGTGGATGCAGTGACTCACGCCTGTAATCTTAGCACTTTGGGAGGCTGATATTGTCTGGCTGTGTCCTCACCCAAATCTCATCTTGAATTCTAGCTCCCATAATTCCCATGTGCAGTAGAGGGACCCGATTGGGAGGTAATTGAATTATGGGGGCGGGTCTTTCCCATGCTGTTCTTGTGATAGTGAATAAGTCTCAAGAGATCTGATGGTTTTATAAAGGGAAATTTCCCTGTATGTGCTCTCTTGCCTGCTGCCATGTAAGATGTACCTTTGCTTCTCCTTTGCCTTCTGCCATGATTGTGAGGCCTCCCCAGCCATGTGGAACTGTGAGTCCATTAAGCCTCTTTCCTTTATAAATTACTCACTCTCGGGTATGTCTTTATTAGCAGTATAAGAACAGACTAATATAGAGGCCGAGGTGGGTGGATCACTTGAAGTCAGGAGTTCAAGACCAGTCTGCCCAACACTGGTAAAACCCCACCTCTACTAAA